GAAACTAGTTTTTTTTCTTTTTTCTTATGCCTCTTTCCCCTTCTTCATTGTCATATAATTGTAATGGCGATGGTGATGGTTCTTTTCTTGGCAACTGTTCTTCTACTAGTAAGTAAAATAAGCTTAGACCAACACCATTTTTCAGCTCCAATGACCCGAATTTTGTTCAACTCACTAATTTTGCTCATCACTATCAACAGCTATACAACAGAAAATTTTAACAAGATACTTTTTAACGTTTTTTTTTCTTGTTTTCTGAATACAATTTATCATTTTCAATATTAATAGGTCAATAAAATTGATACTACGGTACGGCGCCTAAGAACCAATACCTATTTTTAATTGCTGAAGCTTTTTTTTTTTGCGGCTAAAAATAATTTTAAAGGTTGAATAAAGCGGAAAATGAATGGAACAGTTAATTCCTATAAAATCATCGATCAGTTGTTCCTTTTCTATCCGCATTGAATTTTTTAGTTTTTGATCAAGAACCAAGGTTTATTTGTTGCTTGCAAATTGTTGAACACCAACTGATAAAGTTTCTGTTTTGCTGTTTACTAAGCTTATTTTTAGACAGACAAAGAGTTGAGAAAAAAGTTTTTTGATGTTTTGTTATAAGTTAGAATTGTTGTTCTGTAAAAAAATTTGTAGATTTTGATTTTGAAATACAGCTTTGCAAGACGATTTATTTTGGTGCATTTAATTGATATAACACAACAATAACAGCAAAAATAAATTTACTGTTGGATAGTTTTTTATGAACATTTATTTCATGAAGGCAAATTATTATTGTTATATTTTTCTCTTATTTTTTTGCTCTGAAATTAATGTATATAAGTGTTGGAGGAACAGAACTGCTTCGAAAGAATTGATAGAAGAAAGTTTTGATACATGAAATAATTGGCCTGAAAATTTCAAGCCACTCCTAACAGGTTTATCAGTGGAGCAGACAAAATTTTGACAGTGTCAATGAAAATTTAAACTCTGTGACATTGTTCACCGCTACTGCATAAAGGTCTTTTTTTAAACTTTGAATTGAACAAAAGTTGTTAATTTAACAGTTTTTTTCGAAAACTTTAGAGAA